GAAGAATACTAACAGTTGTTAGTAGAAATATCGTACTTAGTAACATCATAGAAGTAAACGTGGGCTTTACATTGCTATAGAAATACGGTGCAGGTATATGGAAGGACTGTGTTCCAGACTCCATTTGTCTGCTGCCGAAGCTCAGACTCTGGCACAGGATCGGGAACTTGGGAAGCTCTGTCTGACGCGTCTGCCTCCGCGATGCGAAAGTAGAAGCGGCGATGGAAGATGAAGATAGAAATACGGTTCTTCGTTTGTGCCTTCGATAACTTTCCTACTGACTATGAACGTCAGGTTTTCTTAAACCAATTATATCTTATAGTTGGTGCTTTTCCATTCCCCTGAGGCAGTGAATCTTCGATTCATTGAGGAATTAAATTCTTGATTGAACCGTTTGACAACTGTATAATGTTTTTACTCTTCTGCATTTCTTACGCTTTATCTTTGTTACTTTTTCAAATCAGGTGTTGTTTTTCTTAAAGTTTTATTTGATTATAGCATTTGGTCTTTTCTGTGTCCGTCAGCCATTTCGATAAGTTATCATTGTTATCAGGATTCAGTTCAGAACGAAGTATTTGCATTATTCTTTTTGGGTTACTCATATCATCTGGTTAGAACAGTTCCTCCAACTTGTCATAACACTCCCGCAGAATATTAACAGAAGGAGCTGTTAATCTTCACTACAGTGCTAAAAGTCGGTAATCGTACTCATTATCAATCCTCTGTTACCAAACATACTTAAGTCTATTTTAGTCTATAGATCATATATGTGTCTTGTCTTCCAGAGGAATTTGCAGGGGATCTAGACACTGGATTTAAAATAAATTTCATGACGTTTCTTAGCATTCGAGTATATATCTGTCTGTTGTCGCTAAATTGTTTAGTGGCAAACAAGCTTCATTTCGAAGCAGTCGAGTCTCCTCTCCTGATGGGTAAATGAAACTTAATATGAATTAAGTTGATTTTTTGTGTATAAATATGTCTACGGATAGTGGCATATCTGCAGGTGTCCAAACAGGCCTTTGTTCGGTCGTGCCTAGTGATGCGGTTTTGCATTCATGCACTGCAGATGCTGAAATACTCTAGAGCCGTGGCCTGTTTAAGTGGTCCTCTAGGCGACTAGAAGCAAAGGGACGGTGCCATTACGCCAATTTGGCATCGAAAGAAAAAATGATAAAACCGTACGATTGGTCCCGTTTGAATGGCGAACTTCAGTTTGAATCGCCATACGTTTGTTGTGAAGATCCTGTTGAAGTAGTATTCTGGTTGCAGCTGTGGATAAAG